AGCCGGGGCGGGTGTGGGAGGCGGCGGAAGGCCTCAGTCCCCCAGTCCCCAGTCCGGGCCCTGAGACTTCCCAGCCCTGCCCCAGGGACACCGGGGAGGGAGTCCACAGGGCAGGTAAGGACAGAGGCTTTGCTTGTTCAGTGAGTTTATTGGTCCTTAGCATTACATTTAAATTACCAAGGTAAATTCACTTACACAACTGCAGGTAAAAACATGTAAAATAATATAAAAATAAATCGAAGGCTACTTTGATATATTTACTGAATTAAGTAGTGTAATAAATACTATAATAAGCAAAAAGCTTCAATCACACAATTCAGTTTCACTGAAGTTACAGTAGTGTTTGTAAATATGAGTTTTAAAATTTAAGTTACAAATATTAAAGCACTGAAAAACTAGTATAAAAGTGAATTTTGGCACGTAAGTGAGCTCTTATGTCATTAGTATTTGACATCCTGGGACAATGAGGAAGCCATTTCTCACCTACTTTTTGAGGTACGACTATCCAACTAGGTCAGCAACACGGCTGGAATACTTAATAGCTTACAATCTTTGAGTTAAACTTTTCCCTTTTGAGAAGCCCAAAGAGCAACTCAGAGCTTATTACTGTGCAAAAATTCTCCAAAATCCTAACAGAATTTAGGAGGGAACCTTTCCTTGCAGCCCAAAGGGCCCAGAGTCCAGGCTTCAGGTCAGAGAGCCCCTAGGGCTCAGAGGGGTCAGCATGTCTCCCCGCAGTGGCCCCTTCCTAGGGTAATCCCATTTTCTACAATTTCTGCCTCCTCCTGCTAATCAAAAAAAAGAAAATCCCACATCAAAACATAAAAGAACCCATAACTTCAGCGACTTCAACACTATCACACACACTCGGGGTGATATAAAACTGAAGCTGCTAACAGGAAAGTTGGCAAAAAGCACGTAAGCCCCTGGAGGACTCTGCCTGTCCCTGATGTCTTTGCTGGGTCCCTGGTATCCACTTCTGTGGTCAAAACCTAAAACACAGTGTCGCGGCCTTTCCTCTGGAGGCAGTGGAAAATCTGCTCCCCCACCGGGAGCACCGCCTGGAGGAGTCAAATGGACACGAAACTTCACAGTCAGAACCAAGAGGCCCATGGATTCCAGCAGGCCAGGTGCCGGACAAGAGGAGGCCCGGCCGCAGTCCTCAAAGAGCTCACACAGTGCCGCTAGGTGCTTCCTCACGAGGCAGAGCAAGCAGCCCGAGGAATGCCCTGTCGCCAGTATGCCCCTTCACACTCCCGAGCAGGTTGAGGAACGTCCACAGAGGCCTCAGCCAGTTCTGCCTTTTTTGGCTTTGATACTTAATGTTTTGACTTTTTCAATCACAGTTTCATATGCAAGTTGAGGTAATCACAGTTCTTCCTCTAATAGAAGAGGAATTGGGACAGTGGGGCAGGTTGGTGAGAGAGCATTGCTATGGACATCAATCAGAAACGAGATCGCCACGCAGTACATCCCACGTGGTGGGAGACCTGCTCTATGGGTAGGCTCCGAACCCTCTTTAAAAACTCCTGTGCAGCAGCCAGGCTGCCAGGCCAGGCAGCCAGAAATGGCTCAAGCTCCCAGATCCGGAGCTTTCATTAAAAACTTCACAGCAACCCACGTGGAAGAATTGGCCTGTGTCTCCCACTCCCTCCCCCCCCCCTTTTCTAAGGCTGCTCAAGTTTGAGTTTTTAAAAAGAGCTCGGTAGAGCTAAAGGAAGCTACAGTAACTCATTGCTTATTCATCAATTGCACTTAAGATCTATGTTACTGATTCTGAAGCAGAGGTAAGTCCTTCAAGGACCCTGGCCTCTGGCCAGCCAGGACTCAGGGGCCTCCAGACGTGGGCTCCACATGGGGCCCTTGTCACCAGTGGCTTTTGGAGCTGGGGTTAGAGCACATGGGCCTTTTCGGAAGCCTTTCTTGATGCAAGATTTCTTATTCAATGGTATCTGGGATTTTGTTCATTTGGCTTCAAATACAAATTGTTTTTCTTTAATACAGGTATTTTATTGTCAAATCCTACTTGCTTTGCTACTTGCAAGCAGGCCTCTGTGTGACCAGGCACACCAACCACATGTGCTCCATCCTGTCTCTCCTCTGCTCCAGGGGCCTTTCTTGAAAAGCCCTCTACATTACTAGAAACTTTGCTGGTTTTACCTATGTGCTTCTTCCTAAGGCATGCAAAAAAAAAACAAGTGAAATTTAGAAAACATTTACAATCCAGGCAGCTGAGGCACTGAAGTCGTAATAGACATCACCTAAGCATCAGTGCCAGTAACTCCCCTGTCGGACATGGGACATACTTGTTATTAGCTTCTGCTTTATGGTTCTGCTGAAAACAATGCCACTGGAAGGAATTCTAACATGGGTACTGGAATTCTTTGAAATTCCTGGTTCTCAGGAGCCAAACAAGCCCAGGGCCAGCAACAATGCTGGGGGGCATGAATTTCCTGAAGTTTGTGGCTGAAAAGCAGCCTTCCCTGCAAGGCTGGGAGGGCTGGGGCTGGATTGATCCTACAAGTGATGAAACACCAGGCCCAAGACTAGCGGGCTGCAGGACGCTCCCCTCCACAGTGAAGCGAACCTTGTGGGGCTTGGGCAGAAGGCTCACACTTATCCCTGAACGAAGCAAGCCTGAAACGATGCCGCAAGAGGGGATGCTGGTGGCAACTTAAGAGCCACGCAACTTCTGGAAAGCAACGTGCCTCTCCTTCAGTTTAGTCCGTAAGGAAAATCCCCTCATTTCACCCCTGGCTCCGTGGGTGGGGTTTGGGCAGGGCTTATGCAGCTCCCCCCAGGATGGGGCCCACGGCCAGTAGGGCCAGCTTCTTCAATGGAAGGGGCCTAGGCAGGGGATGCAGGCGCTCCACTGGGGATGCAGCATCTGAGGCCTGACGCCTATGGAGGCCTGGTTCCCCACGCACGGCCACAGTTTGGGCAGCAGGGTTTCTTCTAAGTCCCAGAAACTCCTCTGTGCAATCCACATGCTTCTCCCCAACCTCACACAGTGAGTGTCTTAACAGCCCAGAGGAGATACTGTTACCAGGATGCACAGCTCCTGGCCTGCCAGCCATATGCACAGGGCAAGCCCCATCTGCTCATACTTGAGTTTTCCCCCACCCCCATCAGTGGTGCAGGTGATGCTCTTCAGCGCTGTACAGAGACAGAGACAACATGCACTCAAGCCAGCACACACAGCCAAGGAGAACAAAGATAGTCCCTTCAGGGAGGGGTCTGGGGGAGAGGCGAGGCTAGGACACTCATTCCTCCATCTCCAGGGCAGACGTCCCGCAGGATGCACAGGTCCAGCCTTCCTCTAGGGCTTCTGCTCGAAGAGGTCATGATACTCCTGCTGCTCTAGCTCCCGGTTGTACTTCTCGATTTCCCGGTTGGCTTCTTCCACGTAGTCATTCATGAACTGGTCCATGACTGACCTCTCATTAAGGAAGAGAGACCTGAGCCTGGAGGACAAGGGAGCCTGCCTGAGCCCCCCAGGGACTTGTGGGCAGGTGAGGTGGGGGACACTGAGGTTGTGAGTGCCCAGCCTGCACAGAGGCACCCGATGGGCTCTTCTTATATACTGGCAGCATCCCGGTCACAAAGTTGGCATAGGGCCCTTAATGAGGTCCCAGAACTGGGCCCTTCAGCTGTCACTAGCACACAGCAGCACCCCAAGACTTATCTTTCACCTCATCCAACTTTTCACAGACTAACCATTGAATCAGGCTGGCTCCAACTTGTGAAGCATGACCCTGAAGATGGCAGAATTCAGGATGGCACTGCAGCTGCATTCAAAGTAACCCACAGAGTAACATTAGCAATCACTCAATAAAGAAGGAATCTAATCTTCTCGGCTTTAAAAGGCCATAATGAAAAGTCTGCCCTTCGGTTTGCTCCTGTGTGTTCCCAGCTCCAGCCTGTGGAAACGCAGAGCCCAGCCTGCTCCGGGGCTCGGCGGCAGCGGCTCCAGCAAGACGCCCACTTCACAGACACGCTCACACACATTCCCAGCCTCAATGCCCAGATTCACACAAGGACCAAGCTGTTCCAAGGATACGTGGGTGAAAATCAGTCTTGTCACCAAAGAAGTTGACAAACTGGGTACCATTATAAAAGTAGCCTGCAGGTAGGGGGTCCAGGTGGCGTTTCACCTGTAGGAAAAAAGAGTCCTGTGAGAATTATCTGACCACTGCTCTCATTCACTCACTCACTAAAAACAAAAAAGTCCACTTCCCTACAAGACAGCCTATTCTGTTATACACAGGAGCCAGAGAACGAATATCCCCAGCAACCCCAAGCCATGCCTGACGGTGGTTCTGCACCTCTCAGGTGAGGTTCGCTGGGAGTTCCTGATGGGAGCACTTTCTGCAGCTCACAATGGTACTGGTTTGCTAACGTGTCCTTTATTGGCCAGCTCTCATTTCCTTCCTTCTCTCACTTTCCCACATCCCTACTTAGTGTCTCCTAGAATCGCTTCCAAGATAAACTACCTGTACTCAAACCCTTGATCAAGGCCAGGTTCTAGGAAACATGCATTACAGGGACTGCCTTCTGAGGGCCACACTATCCTCCCCAGGAGCACCCAGGTTGTCTAGGTCTATAGAAGTTGGTTGTGAAGGGGCCCTCTGCAAGTCCAAACAGGGGCTTCTGGAGTCCCAAATACTTTTCTGCCCCATGTGCTCCTTACTGGAACTGTATACAGTTCGTCTTGGGGGTTTAGACTCTGTGCCTCCCGACTCCTCAGGGAAAGGGCCCAGTGTGCATGGTGACGAGGGCAGAAGCTAGGGGTTGGCATAGAGGTTGGGAGGGCTCATCGAGGGATCTCTTAATTCACCTCTTGTCCTGGCCTCAGATTCTACAAAGTTCCCACGAGCAGCTTCTGAATCTAGAGTCTTTTCCTGGGCCCTAGATGGTTTATCTGTGGTTTACTTTAGACAGAGGTTTTCTGTAGCTGCTTGAACAGAGTGACAGGGCAGGGCCTCCAGTCATTGGTTCCTTCCATAGGTACTAGCTCCCCTGTCTCATGCCCAGGTCACACCAGAGGTCTCCTGCCCCTCCTCATGAGGCTGCAAGGCTGGAATTCTGTACCCAGCTTCCATTTGTGATCTGAGAGAAAAAAAATTTCCAGCACGCCTCACAAATAGCCCCTCACTCAGGGAATCCGCAAGATGGAGCTATGCAAGCCTAGGAGGATAGCGCAGGGCTGCTGCGGGGCAAGCCCAGTACAAGGCACTCACGTGGATGTTCCTAATCTCCTGCTGGGTCAGCATCCCCCTGGTCTTCAGGGCTTTTCTCTGAGGCTTCTGTAAAGAGATTTAGGGAGAGGTCAGGTCCCAATAGAGCTGATGGAATATGTGGGTGGGTGAGGGCTTAGGGCTCTGGGGGTCGTTCTAGGATGTGCTAAGAGGCTTAGCACCCACAACTTGCAGAGAACCTGGGCTCACAGAGCAGATGACAGAGCACATCTGCCTCAACTTTGCCCTGAGTAGCTTTCTCCCATTCTCAAAGTGTCCCTGAAAGGGCTAGCTGAGCCTGTGAGAGGTGGCCGGTGGTATGGCATCAGGGAAGAAGCAGAGGGGCTCCTCAGGGTCAGTGGTGGCTCTGAGGTACGCTGGTCACATAAGTGTCAAGTCTGGCTGGGACTTGGAAACCACCTGCTTAGCTGACTGCCGCAGCCAGTCCTTGACGCCATCTTCCTTCAGGGAGCAGCCGATGAACACGAGGTAGCACTCCTGCTGCCCGCTGCCATCTTGAGGTGTGCTTCTGAAGTCGGGTGGTGGTGTAGGTCCCTCCAAAACAGGCATGATGCTCAAGGAGTTGGCCAGGGTGTTGTGGCAGACCTCCATGGTCCTCTCAGAGTCTGCAAGGAGAACACATATTAGTCCTTGAGAGCCTGCCTGTAAAGGACAGGGCTACATTAAGACTCACAATGGGCCGGGCTCGGTGGCTCAGCCTGTAATCCTGCGCCTTTGGGAGGTTGAGGTGAGTGGATTGCTTGAGCCCGCGGGTTCGAGACCCGCCTG